TGGTTGTGTGCGGTAGTGGGAGGTGTGACTAACCACTAACCTGTGCTGCCACTCAGCCTCCGAACCCAACATCTGCTTGAAGGCGCGCCACAAACAGCGGATGGGGAACGAGCGTCGACCATCCCCTTTGGTGCGTCGGAAGGACCGGCTCCCTGGCTCCCTCAAGCGTCGCCCAGCCTACAGTACTGGTGAGTACGTCTCCCTGGCTCCCTCAAGCGTCGCCCAGCCTACAGTACTGGTGAGTACGTCTCCCTGGCTCCCTCAAGCGTCGCCCAGCCTACAGTACTGGTGAGTACGTCCCCTGGCTCCCTCAAGCGTCGCCCTGCCTACAGTACTGGTGAGTACGTCTCCCTGGCTCCCTCAAGCGTCGCCCAGCCTACAGTACTGGTGAGTACGTCTCCCTGGCTCCCTCAAGCGTCGCCCAGCCTACAGTACTGGTGAGTACGTCCCCCTGGCTCCCTCAAGCGTCGCCCTGCCTACAGTACTGGTGAGTACGTCTCCCTGGCTCCCTCAAGCGTCGCCCAGCCTACAGTACTGGTGAGTACGTCCCCCTGGCTCCCTCAAGCGTCGCCCAGCCTACAGTACTGGTGAGTACGTCTCCCTGGCTCCCTCAAGCGTCGCCCTGCCAACAGTACTGGTGAGTACGTCCCCCCCCCGGCTCCCTCAAGCGTCGCCCTGCCTACAGTACTAGTGAGTACGTCCCCCCCCCTGGACTGCAAGACTGAAGCAATGGTTACAAGACTGAAGCAGTGGTTACAAGACTGAAGCAGTGGTTGCAAGACTGAAGCAGTGGTTGCAAGACTGAAGCAGTGGTTGCAAGACTGAAGCAGTGGTTGCAAGACTGAAGCAATGGTTACAAGACTGAAGCAATGGTTGCAAGACTGAAGCAGTGATTGCAAGACTGAAGCAGTGGTTGCAAGACTGAAGCAGTGGTTGCAAGACTGAAGCAATGGTTACAAGACTGAAGCAGTGGTTGCAAGACTGAAGCAATGGTTACAAGACTGAAGCAGTGGTTGCAAGACTGAAGCAGTGGTTGCAAGACTGAAGCAATTGTTGCAAGACTGACGCAATGGTTGCAAGACTGAAGCAATGGTTACAAGACTGAAGCAGTGGTTGCAAGACTGAAGCAGTGGTTGCAAGACTGAAGCAGTGGTTGCAAGACTGAAGCAATGGTTGCAAGACTGAAGCAATGGTTGCAAGACTGAAGCAATGGTTGCAAGACTGAAGCAATGGTTGCAAGACTGAAGCAGTGGTTGCAAGACTGAAGCAATGGTTGCAAGACTGAAGCAATGGTTACAAGACTGAAGCAGTGGTTGCAAGACTGAAGCAGTGGTTGCAAGACTGAAGCAGTGGTTGCAAGACTGAAGCAATGGTTGCAAGACTGAAGCAATGGTTGCAAGACTGAAGCAATGGTTGCAAGACTGCAAGACTGAAGCAGTAGTTACAAGACTGAAGCAGTGGCTGCAAGACTGAAGCAATGGTTACAAGACTGAAGCAGTGGTTGCAAGACTGAAGCAATGGTTGCAAGACTGAAGCAGTGGTTGCAAGACTGAAGCAATGGTTGCAAGACTGAAGCAGTGGTTGCAAGACTGAAGCAATTGTTGCAAGACTGAAGCAATGGTTGCAAGACTGAAGCAATGGTTGCAAGACTGAAGCAGTGGTTGCAAGACTGAAGCAGTGGTTGCAAGACTGAAGCAATTGTTGCAAGACTGAAGCAATGGTTGCAAGACTGAAGCAGTGGCTGCAAGACTGAAGCAGTGGTTACAAGACTGAAGCAATGGTTGCTAGACTGAAGCAGTGGTTGCAAGACTGAAGCAGTGGCTGCAAGACTGAAGCAATGGTTGCAAGACTGCAGCAATGGTTGCTAGACTGAAGCAATGGTTGCAAGACTGCAGCAGTGGTTACAAGACTGAAGCAATGGTTGCTAGACTGAAGCAATGGTTGCAAGACTGAAGCAGTGGTTACAAGACTGAAGCAATGGTTGCAAGACTGAAGCAGTGGTTACAAGACTGAAGCAGTGGTTACAAGACTGAAGCAGTGGTTACAAGACTGAAGCAATGGTTGCAAGACTGAAGCAGTGGTTACAAGACTGAAGCAGTGGTTACAAGACTGAAGCAATGGTTGCAAGACTGAAGCAGTGGTTACAAGACTGAAGCAGTGGTTGCAAGACTGAAGCAATGGTTGCAAGACTGAAGCAGTGGTTACAAGACTGAAGCAGTAGTTACAAGACTGAAGCAATGGTTGCAAGACTGAAGCAGTGGTTACAAGACTGAAGCAGTGGTTACAAGACTGAAGCAGTGGTTACAAGACTGAAGCAATGGTTGCAAGACTGAAGCAGTGGTTACAAGACTGAAGCAGTGGTTACAAGACTGAAGCAGTGGTTACAAGACTGAAGCAATGGTTGCAAGACTGAAGCAGTGGTTACAAGACTGAAGCAGTGGTTACAAGACTGAAGCAATGGTTGCAAGACTGAAGCAGTGGTTACAAGACTGAAGCAGTGGTTACAAGACTGAAGCAGTGGTTACAAGACTGAAGCAGTGGTTGCAAGACTGAAGCAGTGGTTGCAAGACTGAAGCAGTGGTTGCAAGACTGAAGCAATGGTTGCAAGACTGCAGCAGTGGTTACAAGACTGAAGCAATGGTTGCTAGACTGAAGCAATGGTTGCAAGACTGAAGCAGTGGTTACAAGACTGAAGCAATGGTTGTAAGACTGAAGCAGTGGTTACAAGACTGAAGCAATGGTTGCAAGACTGAAGCAATGGTTGCAAGACTGAAGCAGTGGTTACAAGACTGAAGCAGTGGTTACAAGACTGAAGCAGTGGTTACAAGACTGAAGCAGTGGTTGCAAGACTGAAGCAGTGGCTGCAAGACTGAAGCAATGGTTGCAAGACTGCAAGACTGAAGCACTGGTTACAAGACTGAAGCAGTGGCTGCAAGACTGAAGCAATGGTTGCAAGACTGCAAGACTGAAGCAGTGGTTACAAGACTGAAGCAGTGGTTGCAAGACTGAAGCAATGGTTACAAGACTGAAGCAGTGGCTGCAAGACTGAAGCAATGGTTACAAGACTGAAGCAGTGGTTGCAAGACTGAAGCAATGGTTGCAAGACTGAAGCAGTGGTTGCAAGACTGAAGCAATGGTTGCAAGACTGAAGCAGTGGTTGCAAGACTGAAGCAATTGTTGCAAGACTGAAGCAATGGTTGCAAGACTGAAGCAATGGTTGCAAGACTGAAGCAGTGGTTGCAAGACTGAAGCAGTGGTTGCAAGACTGAAGCAATTGTTGCAAGACTGAAGCAATGGTTGCAAGACTGAAGCAGTGGCTGCAAGACTGAAGCAGTGGTTACAAGACTGAAGCAATGGTTGCTAGACTGAAGCAGTGGTTGCAAGACTGAAGCAGTGGCTGCAAGACTGAATCAATGGTTGCAAGACTGCAGCAATGGTTGCTAGACTGAAGCAATGGTTGCAAGACTGAAGCAGTGGTTGCAAGACTGAAGCAGTGGTTGCAAGACTGAAGCAGTGGTTGCAAGACTGAAGCAATGGTTGCAAGACTGCAGCAGTGGTTACAAGACTGAAGCAATGGTTGCTAGACTGAAGCAATGGTTGCAAGACTGAAGCAGTGGTTACAAGACTGAAGCAATGGTTGCAAGACTGAAGCAGTGGTTACAAGACTGAAGCAGTGGTTACAAGACTGAAGCAATGGTTGCAAGACTGAAGCAGTGGTTACAAGACTGAAGCAGTGGTTACAAGACTGAAGCAATGGTTGCAAGACTGAAGCAGTGGTTACAAGACTGAAGCAGTGGTTACAAGACTGAAGCAATGGTTGCAAGACTGAAGCAGTGGTTACAAGACTGAAGCAGTGGTTACAAGACTGAAGCAATGGTTGCAAGACTGAAGCAGTGGTTACAAGACTGAAGCAGTGGTTACAAGACTGAAGCAGTGGTTACAAGACTGAAGCAATGGTTGCAAGACTGAAGCAGTGGTTACAAGACTGAAGCAGTGGTTACAAGACTGAAGCAGTGGTTACAAGACTGAAGCAATGGTTGCAAGACTGAAGCAGTGGTTACAAGACTGAAGCAGTGGTTACAAGACTGAAGCAATGGTTGCAAGACTGAAGCAGTGGTTACAAGACTGAAGCAGTGGTTACAAGACTGAAGCAGTGGTTGCAAGACTGAAGCAGTGGTTGCAAGACTGAAGCAGTGGTTGCTAGACTGAAGCAATGGTTGCAAGACTGAAGCAGTGGTTACAAGACTGAAGCAATGGTTGCAAGACTGAAGCAGTGGTTGCAAGACTGAAGCAATTGTTGCAAGACTGAAGCAATGGTTGCAAGACTGAAGCAGTGGCTGCAAGACTGAAGCAGTGGTTACAAGACTGAAGCAATGGTTGCTAGACTGAAGCAGTGGTTGCAAGACTGAAGCAGTGGCTGCAAGACTGAATCAATGGTTGCAAGACTGCAGCAATGGTTGCTAGACTGAAGCAATGGTTGCAAGACTGAAGCAGTGGTTGCAAGACTGAAGCAGTGGTTGCAAGACTGAAGCAATGGTTGCAAGACTGAAGCAATGGTTGCAAGACTGCAGCAGTGGTTACAAGACTGAAGCAATGGTTGCTAGACTGAAGCAATGGTTGCAAGACTGGTTGCAAGACAATGAAGACTGAAGCAGTGGTTACAAGACTGAAGCAATGGTTGCAAGACTGAAGCAATGGTTGCAAGACTGAAGCAGTGGTTACAAGACTGAAGCAGTGGTTGCAAGACTGAAGCAATGGTTGCAAGACTGAAGCAGTGGTTACAAGACTGAAGCAGTGGTTGCAAGACTGAAGCAATGGTTGCAAGACTGAAGCAGTGGTTACAAGACTGAAGCAGTGGTTACAAGACTGAAGCAATGGTTGCAAGACTGAAGCAGTGGTTACAAGACTGAAGCAGTGGTTACAAGACTGAAGCAATGGTTGCAAGACTGAAGCAGTGGTTACAAGACTGAAGCAGTGGTTACAAGACTGAAGCAGTGGTTACAAGACTGAAGCAATGGTTGCAAGACTGAAGCAGTGGTTACAAGACTGAAGCAGTGGTTACAAGACTGAAGCAGTGGTTACAAGACTGAAGCAATGGTTGCAAGACTGAAGCAGTGGTTACAAGACTGAAGCAGTGGTTACAAGACTGAAGCAATGGTTGCAAGACTGAAGCAGTGGTTACAAGACTGAAGCAGTGGTTACAAGACTGAAGCAGTGGTTGCAAGACTGAAGCAGTGGTTGCAAGACTGAAGCAGTGGTTGCAAGACTGAAGCAATGGTTGCAAGACTGCAGCAGTGGTTACAAGACTGAAGCAATGGTTGCTAGACTGAAGCAATGGTTGCAAGACTGAAGCAGTGGTTACAAGACTGAAGCAATGGTTGCAAGACTGAAGCAGTGGTTACAAGACTGAAGCAGTGGTTACAAGACTGAAGCAATGGTTGCAAGACTGAAGCAATGGTTGCAAGACTGAAGCAGTGGTTACAAGACTGAAGCAGTGGTTACAAGACTGAAGCAGTGGTTACAAGACTGAAGCAGTGGTTGCAAGACTGAAGCAGTGGCTGCAAGACTGAAGCAATGGTTGCAAGACTACAAGACTGAAGCAGTGGTTACAAGACTGAAGCAGTGGCTGCAAGACTGAAGCAATGGTTGCAAGACTGCAAGACTGAAGCAGTGGTTACAAGACTGAAGCAGTGGTTGCAAGACTGAAGCAGTGGTTGCAAGACTGAAGCAGTGGCTGCAAGACTGAAGCAATGGTTGCAAGACTGAAGCAGTGGTTACAAGACTGAAGCAGTGGTTGCAAGACTGAAGCAGTGGTTGCAAGACTGAAGCAGTGGTTGCAAGACTGAAGCAGTGGCTGCAAGACTGAAGCAATGGTTGCAAGACTGCAAGACTGAAGCAGTGGTTACAAGACTGAAGCAGTGGTTACAAGACTGAAGCAGTGGTTGCAAGACTGAAGCAGTGGCTGCAAGACTGAAGCAGTGGTTACAAGACTGAAGCAGTGGTTACAAGACTGAAGCAGTGGTTACAAGACTGAAGCAGTGGTTACAAGACTGAAGCAGTGGTTACAAGACTGAAGCAGTGGCTGCAAGACTGAAGCAATGGTTGCAAGACTGAAGCAGTGGTTACAAGACTGAAGCAATGGTTGCAAGACTGAAGCAATGGTTACAAGACTGAAGCAATGGTTGCAAGACTGCAAGACTGAAGCAGTGGCTGCAAGACTGAAGCAGTGGTTACAAGACTGAAGCAGTGGCTGCAAGACTGAAGCAGTGGTTACAAGACTGAAGCAGTGGCTGCAAGACTGAAGCAGTGGTTACAAGACTGAAGCAGTGGCTGCAAGACTGAAGCAGTGGTTACAAGACTGAAGCAGTGGCTGCAAGACTGAAGCAGTGGCTGCAAGACTGAAGCAGTGGCTGCAAGACTGAAGCAGTGGCTGCAAGACTGAAGCAGTGGCTGCAAGACTGAAGCAGTGGCTGCAAGACTGAAGCAGTGGCTGCAAGACTGAAGCAGTGGCTGCAAGACTGAAGCAGTGGCTGCAAGACTGAAGCAGTGGCTGCAAGACTGAAGCAGTAGTTACAAGACTGAAGCAGTGGCTGCAAGACTGAAGCAACGAGCAGCCATACAACCGCTGCGTGTCCTATTGTATACCCCAAGGTCATCAGTCCTAAGTCTGTCATACACCTGTTGTATCATTGTAGTCCATGAGATGTATGTCTGTCATACAGGCAATGTATTATATTCTATAAATCCATGATACTTCTAGTATATTTCAGTATACCATGTACACTGCTGGCCTGTAGCATTAGCATGGTAGGAACAATAATAATTACTGTAATTTCTCATTGTGTTAAAATGGTTAAGTTTGGGGCTACGCGTCGGGCACTGCTAACTGCCATCTTTGTTTACATTGGCAGTAGAGAGCGGGTCGACGCCTGACAGCGGCCAGAGCTCCCCACCCAACGGCCTGCCAGCCTCCAGGTCCTCGTCAGGCTCCACACCCATCCATGAGGAAGGGGGCGGGTCCCCCTACGGCGCCCATGGTGGTGGGGGCCAGGGGTCGTGTTCTGACCTCACCGTCTACTCCTCCCTTCCAAACATCTCTATGGGCCGCCCTCCACATTCCACACAGCCCGTGAGTAGCGCTCTCTCTCTGTCATGCCGGTGGTGGGGTCATGTTGGGTACTGGTGCTCCGTACCGGTGGTGGGGTCATGTTGGGTGTGTTCCGTACCGGTGGTGGGGCCATGTTGGGTACAGGTGTTCCGTACCGGTGGTGGGGCCACACTGGGTGTGTTCCGTACCGGTGGTGGGGTCATGTTGGGTACTGGTGCTGCGTACCGGTGGTGGGGGCCACACTGGGTGTGTTCCGTACCGGTGGTGGGGCCATGTTGGGTACTGTGTGCTCCGTACCAGTGGTGGGGCCACACTGGGTGTGTTCCGTACCAGTGGTGGGGTCATGTTGGGTACTGGTGCTGCGTACCGGTGGTGGGGCCACACTGGGTGTGTTCCGTACCGGTGGTGGGGCCATGTTGGGTACTGGTGCTCCGTACCGGTGGTGGGGCCACACTGGGTGTGTTCCGTACCGGTGGTGGGGTCATGTTGGGTACTGGTGCTCCGTACCGGTGGTGGGGCCACACTGGGTGTGTTCCGTACCGGTGGTGGGGCCATGTTGGGTACTGGTGCTCCGTACCGGTGGTGGGGTCATGTTGGGTGTGTTCCGTACCGGTGGTGGGGCCATGTTGGGTACTGGTGCTCCGTACCGGTGGTGGGGCCATGTTGGGTACTGGTGCTCCGTACCGGTGGTGGGGCCACACTGGGTGTGTTCCGTACCGGTGGTGGGGCCATGTTGGGTACTGGTGCTCCGTACCGGTGGTGGGGCCACACTGGGTGTGTTCCGTACCGGTGGTGGGGCCACACTGGGTGTGTTCCGTACCGGTGGTGGGGTCATGTTGGGTACTGGTGCTGCGTACCGGTGGTGGGGCCACACTGGGTGTGTTCCGTACCGGTGGTGGGGTCATGTTGGGTACTGGTGCTCCGTACCGGTGGTGGGGCCACACTGGGTGTGTTCCGTACCGGTGGTGGGGCCACACTGGGTGTGTTCCGTACCGGTGGTGGGGTCATGTTGGGTACTGGTGCTGCGTACCGGTGGTGGGGCCACACTGGGTGTGTTCCGTACCGGTGGTGGGGCCATGTTGGGGCACTGGTGCTCCATACCGGTTGTGGGGCCACACTGGGTGTGTTCCGTACCGGTGGTGGGGCCATGTTGGGTACTGGTGCTCACCGGTGGTGGGGCCCGGTGGTGGGGTCATGTTGGGTTGTGTTCCGTACCGGTGGTGGGGCCATGTTGGGTACTGGTGCTCCGTACCGGTGGTGGGGCCACATTGGGTGTGTTCCGTACCGGTGGTGGGGTCATGTTGGGTACTGGTGCTGCGTACCGGTGGTGGGGCCACACTGGGTGTGTTCCGTACCGGTGGTGGGGCCATGTGGGTACTGGTGCTCCGTACCGGTGGTGGGGCCACACTGGGTGTGTTCCGTACCGGTGGTGGGGCCATGTTGGGTACTGGTGCTCCGTACCGGTGGTGGGGCCACACTGGGTGTGTTCCGTACCGGTGGTGGGGCCATGTTGGGTACTGGTGCTCCGTACCGGTGGTGGGGCCACATTGGGTGTGTTCCGTACCGGTGGTGGGGTCATGTTGGGTACTGGTGCTGTGTACCGGTGGTGGGGCCACACTGGGTGTGTTCCGTACCGGTGGTGGGGCCATGTTGGGTACTGGTGCTCCGTACCGGTGGTGGGGCCACACTGGGTGTGTTCCGTACCGGTGGTGGGGCCATGTTGGGTACTGGTGCTCCGTACCGGTGGTGGGGTCATGTTGGGTACTGGTGCTGCGTACCGGTGGTGGGGCCACACTGGGTGTGTTCCGTACCGGTGGTGGGGTCATGTTGGGTACTGGTGCTCCGTTACCGGTGGTGGGGGCCACACTGGGTGTGTTCCGTACCGGTGGTGGGGCCATGTTGGGTACTGGTGCTCCGTACCGGTGGTGGGGCCACACTGGGTGTGTTCCGTACCGGTGGTGGGGCACACTGGGTGTGTTCCGTACCGGTGGTGGGGTCATGTTGGGTACTGGTGCTCCGTACCGGTGGTGGGGTCATGTTGGGTACTGGTGCTCCGTACCGGTGGTGGGGTCATGTTGGGTGTTTGTGTTCGTACCGTGGTGTGGGCCATGTTTGGGTACTGGTGCTCCGTACCGGTGGTGGGGCCACACTGGGTGTGTTCCGTACCGGTGGTGGGGTCATGTTGGGTACTGGTGCTGCGTACCGGTGGTGGGGCCACACTGGGTGTGTTCCGTACCGGTGGTGGGGCCACGCTGGGTACTGGTGTTCCGTACCGGTGGTGGGGCCACGCTGGGTACTGGTGTTCCGTACCGGTGGTGGGGCCACGCTGGGTACTGGTGTTCCGTACCGGTGGTGGGGCCACGCTGGGTACTGGTGTTCCGTACCGGTGGTGGGGCCACGCTGGGTACTGGTGTTCCGTACCGGTGGGGGGCCACGCTGGGTACTGGTGTTCCGTACCGGTGGTGGGGCCACGCTGGGTACTGGTGTTCCGTACCGGTGGTGGGGCCACGCTGGGTACTGGTGTTCCGTACCGGTGGTGGGGCCACGCTGGGTACTGGTGTTCCGTACCGGTGGTGGGGCCACGCTGGGTACTGGTGTTCCGTACCGGTGGTGGGGCCACGCTGGGTACTGGTGTTCCGTACCGGTGGTGGGGCCACTTAAAGGTAAGGTCTTCTGCCATGAGTTCTCCCAAAACCAGTATATTGAATTTACGTTCTAATGTATGATTTAACTGCGTATTGTACGTGATTTCCATTTTTATATTTTCGTTATTTTCCATAGCGCAGGAGCTGGAACTTATTTTCTAAATACAGCACCATATTATTTTAGGTAGTCTATTGAAAGACCTGATTTACATCTGATTGGAGGTTTGCCGTGTCTTGTATGTTGTCTACTCTCATAAAAATCCTAGTTCTTGTCTATGTCCGATATGAGGATGAGAAAAAGTACTGGAGCAAGCACAGTATCCTGGGGGGACTGTACTGGAGCAAGCACAGTACCCTGGGGGACTGTACTGGAGCAAGCACAGTACCCTGGGGGACTGTACTGGAGCAAGCACAGTACCCTGGGGGACTGTACTGGAGCAAGCACAGTACCCTGGGGGACTGTACTGGAGCAAGCACAGTACCCTGGGGGACTGTACTGGAGCAAGCACAGTACCCTGGGGGACTGTACTGGAGCAAGCACAGTACCCTGGGGGACTGTACTGGAGCAAGCACAGTACCCTGGGGGACTGTACTGGAGCAAGCACAGTACCCTGGGGGACTGTACTGGAGCAAGCACAGTACCCTGGGGGACTGTACTGGAGCAAGCACAGTACCCTGGGGGACTGTACTGGAGCAAGCACCGTACCCTGGGGGACTGTACTGGAGCAAGCACAGTACCCTGGGGGACTGTACTGGAGCAAGCACAGTACCCTGGGGGACTGTACTGGAGCAAGCACAGTACCCTGGGGGACTGTACTAGAGCAAGCACAGTACCCTGGGGGACTGTACTGGAGCAAGCACAGTACCCTGGGGGACTGTACTGGAGCAAGCACAGTACCCTGGGGGGACTGTACTGGAGCAAGCACAGTACCCTGGGGGACTGTACTGGAGCAAGCACAGTACCCTGGGGGACTGTACTGGAGCAAGCACAGTACCCTGGGGGACTGTACTGGAGCAAGCACAGTACCCTGGGGGACTGTACTGGAGCAAGCACAGTACCCTGGGGGACTGTACTGGAGCAAGCACAGTACCCTGGGGGACTGTACTAGAGCAAGCACAGTACCCTGGGGGACTGTACTGGAGCAAGCACAGTACCCTGGGGGACTGTACTGGAGCAAGCACAGTACCCTGGGGGACTGTACTGGAGCAAGCACAGTACCCTGGGGGACTGTACTGGAGCAAGCACAGTACCCTGGGGGACTGAGCTCTTCACGGTTGATAGACCGGACTTTATTTTGTTGACTATTACACATTGGGTTCTGTTAGTCAGGAAATTGTAGATCCATCTGCCTATTTTTCCGGTAACTCTTTTTGTGCACAATAACACCATGGTCACATTTGTCAACGCCCTGGGGAGTGACTTGGGTAAGGCGTGCTAAGGAGTTCTTTAGGAGATTTTCCAGCATCAGTTCAAACGATTTGTATCCAGTAATGGTAGCTGTGTTTGGGCTGATGTCATTGTCTGTAGCTGTCGATGGGGTGTTTGTTGGGTCAGCCTCGGGGATGGGTTGAGTTACTTGTGTAAAGAGTGGGACGTGGTACATACACCTCTGGTTTATGGAGGAAGCCGTTAATCCAAACCCGATCAGGGGGAAAGTAGTCTGGAAAAGTAAGCAGGGCAGTGCCTATATCACTCAGTTCTCTGATCTTCGCATAAATTTTTTGACTCCGAAGATTAGAATGCCATCTGCCTGAAGTTGTGCATTAATGTCTTCAACGTGTAGGATTACATATTTGGCTAATCGGCCACCTAGTGGTTGGTCGCATCTGACTGTATCCACAGACGTCAGTAACACCAGATGGCTCTAGTTCCTCGCTGTGTTTGTGGTCCACTGCGATGCAGTTCCTTTGTTTGTTAGGTCTGACATCTTCCACTTTGATCTTAAATATCTTTGGAATGGCATGATATAGGATACTTTGTGCTCTGCTATCTCCAAGAACAGTCCTATCTTCGTCATCAAAGGCAATGATGAAAGTTTCCAAACCCGAACTCGTCCCCTTGGTTGAGTGGTGGATGTTGACGCTGAGGCCGCCTGGGGCCGGGACGCTCTCTGTTTACCTGTATGTGATGGCGGCGCTGCGCCTCCAATCATCTTCACCACCCAGCGTCCCACAGGAGCAGTTCAGGTGTAGACGAGTGAGGAGGCGACGGCAGGAGAATCTGTTTGCCTTACTCTGATGTTTATTGTCCAGGAAAACTCCCTCTGGATCCTCCTCTGAGGCCGAGTGACCATCTTGATGTAAATGTGCGCCATGTATCAGTGGTTCCTTAAAGCCCTCAAAGGTATCGTGAGTGTTTGTAGGGAAGACGCTGTA